TTATAATGACGGATCTGTAGGTAAATATTAAATTTTGTGATGGATATAATTTGTGGGAAAGAAAGAGATAGTGTGATTTTGATGGTGGGTTTATTAGTAGATGGTGAAGTTTGTGGTTGGTGTGGTGAGACATGAGCTTGCAAAGCTTAAAAAGAAAGTTGCAACTTAAGAATTTTTAAGTAGCGACAATTTTGAAAGTTGTAATTTCACATCTCCAGATAGATCTATTTAATTGAGGAGAAAACTCTGTTTGTTTTGTTTTTATTTTCTTTTCCATTTTTGCTTTGTTTTAGATTTGTTGGGAAGTTATTTTTTTGTTCTATGATGGTGAACGGTTTGTTTCAAAGAATTCATGCCGAGTTATTTCAGATTGTCTTGTTGCACTAGAAAAAAAAGAAGATTTTTATTGTGAAATATATAGATTTTGTATTAATATGATGGCAATGTTAGTGGTTTCATGGTGGTATTCATGAAAGAAGAAATAATTGAATGACATGGATAATTTTATTTGAAATTTGACATGGTATCTGATGTGGCAGTGAGATGACATTAATGTGACGCAAGTGAGATACAATTTTCATTGGTGAAAATGGTATTATACATCACAGATAGTAAATAAATTTACTTTTTAGTAGTATATGTGTGTAATAGATCGCTGTGATAGTTTAAGCGTATAACTGATTTTTTGATATAAGTTCAGGGGTAAATTTATGTTTTTCCCTATTTAAAAATATATGTATAAGTACTGATATTTTTTAAATGAGGACCCCAAAAAATATGAAATCATAAGCGATGACTTTAATAGCCTAGGAGTTAAAAAGACGGCCCTTTAATTAGCCTTAAACTTACAATAGTCTAATCGTAAATTTATACTTCATCAACAAATTGTCTTAGTGTTGGATATTTTATTCTTTAAAATTTTAGCTTTATTAGGTGAAGAAATAAAATTGGCCAATAAATGATAACTTTTTATTTTCTCTAATTGGGAGAAAGCATGTGTTCTGTTTAGTAATCGTTAATAGTCTCCATCCATAACAGCTAAAAGTGCACCATTTCTCAAAATTACAAGGACTATTAGTGCTTCAAACTTATATTTTAGGGACCATTTTGAGTCTAAATTTAAATTGCAAGGATTATTTTGGTCATTTTCTCTACTTCGATATGCTCTTTTTCTTTTTTCGCCCTACTCATATATTCATGACCTATATAATATGTTCATATTTTTTAATTGTGTGTACTCTTTATCTTTTAATTTAAAATTAAACAAAGTGGGTTGTTAGAGTTTAAAGATTGTTTGATAGGGAAATGAGATACACAAAGTTATCTTCTTATATTTCATGAAAGTAATTATCTCACATGTATATATAGTGTAAAGTTTTTTTCATCAATATATTATAAATACGGAATAGATAGTTTTGAAACTAATTTATATCCCTAATCAAACACCGGATAAATAATTCAATTGTATCTTATCCTAGAATTATTATCCCTCATATCAAACGGCTCCTAAAGAAATAGGACAGAGTGTATTACATATTTCGATGAAACAATCTAAAAACTTTTAGAGCGTGTTCCATACAGAGGAAACATTTTTTTATATTCGATTGGTTAAATTTTTAGTAAATACTTTTTTCAGGATAAATCAAAATTTAAATATCCTCCCAACTCTACAACATATCTTATATTCACCCATGTTCCCACCCTTATAATTCACATTCCCACCTCTTGTAATATTTGTTCAAACAATATACAAATATCTTTAGACTAATTTTTTACGTACAAAACATTAAAAAATTATTTATTTATTTAAAAATTATTGTGTATGAAAATAATTTTCTTTCGTACCGAATACATCTTAGTTCATCTCCACGAAAATTTTTGTTTTTTTTTATAAAGTTATCCAAACACTAATTGTTAAGAGTTTTGAAATACTCGTAAACGCTAATCACGCTCAATGAAGAATCAAAAAACACAAACCAAATCACAACTTTACTTATTTTTTAAAAATAAAAAGCAAAAAAATGATGATGTGTGGGGGTCCACACAAAATCTTTAATGAAACAATCAAATATTAGCATAGCATATTCCTTTGCCCAAATTTTCTAGTATATTTACCTTATTTTAAAATTTAAATTCAAAATAGAGATCGTCAATTTAATTATTTTGAACAATGAATTTTTTTTTAAAATTAAATTAATATAAAATAGAGGTAGTATTAATTTGAAAACCTAACAAATCCAAAAAATTATGTTGATGTATAAATATATTTTAATAAAGATAAAATATTAAACTGTATGATAATTAGTAAGCATAAATTATAGAAAGTAAGTCATTATTTTTTATTATAACTTCAATAACCACCACGACATATTCTCCTATTAATTGCTCCTCTACTATTCAAACGACTATCTACATTTTGTATTTATTTTGCGAAGGTAAAAAAAATTCTCTAAATTTTGAACTTTTCACCTAATTTTTTGAAGGGGTTGAGTTTTTGTATCTTGTAGGAAAGAAACAATTCAAAAATTATATTACTGAATTGATATAGATTATACTATAATAAATTTTAAATTTTGACTCGACTTTGAATCGATGGTACCTAAAAGGATAGATTGAGTCAGTGAGGTTTCAATTCGATGAGAGTAAAGACAGTGTGTGATGCGCGTCAATAATAGGGCACCGGTCACCGCCGTGGGCTCCTCTCTTTTCATCATTGAGATACGGAGATTCTGTGTGTTACCACTTGGAGTACTTGTCTTTTTTTGACAACATAAATACAAGCACATAGTGAAAGAAAAAAATTATGATAAGATAAAAAGAGAAAAAAAGTAATTTAAGAAATTAAATTTTATAAATTCGAGTTTCAAATTAGACAAACTACTTATTATAACATTTAAGATATATTAAACTTCGTTTTATTTAGTTTAAACTTAATTTAGGTTTATTCATGTAAAACTAACTAAATAAGAATAGGGAGTTTTCATGTTGTATTACCAAAGCCTAACTAATAAAAAATCTAAGATCGTATATGATTTTAGAAATAAATTGGTTTTTGGAATTTAGTATTGTGTTCGTCTAGAAGAAACGCAAAACAAATGTACTTTTATTATGATTTTACAAAACTAATTTAAATTTCAAAAAGTTAATGTATAATATAAAAATTACGTCCTTTCATTTAACTCCGCATGATTCACGTTTGAGTTTATGACTTAGGGCTATGTATATTTGGTCCCACTTACGTTGAAAAGACCCATAGAAAAAGAGAGCTACATGTATTTGTGGTTGTAGATAAGATAACCTTATAAGCACACCACTTCTTGCTCTTGTTTGTGATGTTCTAAATAAATTACAAAATTATAAGAAATTGGTCTAAAATAATTATTAAAAACTTGTCATATACACTATCCAAAAATTGATGTGTTAAGAATTATTTTGATCCACCTCACCCCATCTTGCCTATATTAGATAGTAGAATAAATTCTCAATTTCAAATATTCACTTCATAAGAAATGAAAAATCATAGTATATATTTATTTTTTCAATCCCCATTCAGTAAATTTGTTACCCTGTTTAAATTTTTAAAGAAATCACTATGGATTGTTATTATTTAGCTTTCCAAGTAAGAAAAAAAAGGAACTAAACTAAATGAACAAATATCTAGAGATAGCAAATGAAGAAAGATGAAAAAAGATAAGGTTGCGTACAATTTTATCCTACGAAACTTCAAATAATATGGGTTGATTTATATTTGACCAATTCATAAATAATTGAATAACTTTAGATAATATGAATTGATTTATATTGACCAACTTTTAAATGATTGAATAATTTTGAATAATATATGTTGATTTATATTTTTAATCAAATTTTAAATGATTAAATAACTTTGGATAATATCAATTGATTATATTTGACCAATTGAATGACCTTAAATAATATGAGTTAGTTTATTTAGATTTGCAATGATAAAATGATTTTTCTACGAGACAGAATTTAGCTAAAACTAAAAAAAAAAATAAAAAATAACCATTAACTTTTTAAAATTTGAATAATTTAGCTATAACCTACTCCCTCCGTTTTAATTTATATAGTACTTTTCAGATTTTGAGATTCAAATAAGTTTATTTTTTATTATAAATTTTTCATATCTATTAGTTATTTTGAATTGTCAATTATTGTAACTTATAGTATTTTTTACGTAGTTTACAAATATATAAATTTTATTTCAAAAAATTAAAGATGTCACACGTAATTTTTTTAATTAAAATTAAACTATTTGATTCTCTAAAAATAAAAAAGTGCCACATAAATTGAGTGAAAGTATATGATTTGAATTTCCCCCGCCGCCCTATCTCTAAAAATTACAAAATCTAAAGGAAGCTTCGTGGTCGTAAGCAAACAAGTAACTACCAAAATCTCCTCAAATAGTCACGATATTATCACACCTAACACGCATACCTTATCTTCTCGCTTAACGCGAAGATAAAATCCCCCAAAATGGGGTCCACTTCAGGCCACGCGGCAACTCTCCGTTGTTTATCCACGGTCCCAAAGAATCTCTTGCCCACTTAATAAAGAACAATATTCATACTCTTGCCATTTTTTATTTCTTTTTTCGATAAAATTTACTGCCTTCCCTTTATTTTTACTATTTATTATTGATAATTTTTTTCTACTTGTTTAGTATATTAATTATTTTTTTCCAAAGTTAATTTTAAATCTAAGATTATACATATTAGTAATTTAATTTCTCTCAATTTATGTGACAAAATTTAAATAAATATATCTTATATTATAATATTTATAATTATTAATTATTGTGACTTATAATAATTTTTATCTAAACTAGCACTTAAGTTATGGTTAGAATTCCTGCTCCAAGAAGAAAAAGAGAAAGTTAGATACTTTCAATGGGCGGAAAAATGGGGCCCACGGCCCAGCCACGGATTTTACACCTATATAATGCGTCTTCGTCTCATGCATATCTCGCTCACTTCATAGCTGTTTGTTTCACGTTCTCTTCACAATTTCCATTACAGCCACTAGGTTTCCGTCCACTTTTCTTTTTTCTTCTTCTTCTTCTCTATTTCCATTAATATCTGTATGGTGTTCTTCTTTTTCGAATTCTAGATTTTGGCTTTGAATTCTTGTTAATCTTTGTTTTTCTTTGTTTAAATCAAGAAATTAGCTTCTTCTGAAGTCAGGGTGGGGATTTTTGGATCGTGTAAAAGTGTGTTAGAGGGTGATTATCTTTTGATTCACTTCTTTTTTTGCTTCTTTTGAGGGGGTAGCCGGGGCCTCGGCCTCGGCGGGTTTTAATAGCCCCCAACTATTACAACATTGGGAAGAAGATCATCAATCTGTACAAACCCTTAAGTTAGTTTTTCTTTTCTTTTTTATTCTTTGATTCTTTCTTAAGAAATCAAACAGATCGGGGAAGAGATGCCGGCCTTAGGTTGTTGTGTAGACGCTTCTGTTTCCCCTCCTCTCGGCTATGCCTTTTCTTGGGATAGCTCTCTTCCCGCGCCGGAGTTATTTTCCTCCGGCGTACCTCCGGCGACAAACGCCGCCGCCGTTACTACCGGTTCTCATTGGTCTACGGATCTGTCATCTGCTTTGTACCGGGTAGATGGGTGGGGTGCTCCTTATTTCTCCGTGAACTCTTCCGGGGATATTTCTGTCCGGCCACATGGTACGGATACTCTTCCTCACCAGGAGATTGACCTACTAAAGGTTGTGAAGAAGGCTTCTGACCCGAAAAATTTGGGTGGGCTTGGGCTTCAGATGCCTCTTGTTGTCCGTTTTCCTGATGTTCTGAAGAACCGTTTGGAGACTTTGCAATCGGCTTTTGATATGGCGGTTAATTCTCAAGGCTATGAGGCTCATTATCAAGGTGTCTATCCGGTGAAATGCAATCAAGATAGGTTCGTGGTGGAGGATATCGTGAAATTCGGGTCGCCATACCGATTCGGGCTGGAAGCCGGGTCTAAACCAGAGCTCCTGCTGGCGATGAACTGTCTCTCCAAGGGGAGTGCTGATGCTCTTCTTGTTTGCAATGGTTTCAAGGACATTGAGTATATTTCGCTTGCTTTGGTTGCAAGAAAGCTCCTTTTGAACACTGTAATTGTGCTTGAACAAGAGGAGGAGCTTGACCTGGTGATTGATATCAGTCGTAAGATGGCTGTTCGGCCTGTAATTGGACTTCGTGCTAAACTCAGGACCAAGCATTCTGGCCATTTTGGATCCACTTCTGGTGAAAAGGGCAAGTTTGGGCTGACAACAACTCAGATTCTTCGTGTAGTGAAGAAGCTTGATGAATCTGGAATGCTGGATTGTCTCCAGTTATTGCATTTTCACATTGGATCTCAGATCCCCACAACAGAGTTGCTTGCTGATGGTGTTGGTGAGGCCACTCAGATTTACTCTGAATTAGTCCGTCTTGGAGCTGGTATGAAATTCATTGATATCGGAGGCGGGCTTGGAATTGACTATGATGGTTCTAAATCAAGCAATTCTGATGTCTCTGTTGGCTATGGCATTGAAGAATATGCATCCGCTGTTGTCCAAGCGGTCCTCTATGTCTGTGACCGTAAGGGCGTAAAGCATCCAGTGATTTGCAGCGAAAGTGGCAGGGCAATTGTTTCTCACCATTCAATTCTGATTTTCGAAGCTGTGTCTGCTTCTACTACTCATGTTTCTACACAGCCATCTTCCGGTGGTTTACAATCCTTGGTGGAGACTCTCAATGAAGATGCCCGTGCTGACTACAGAAACTTATCTGCTGCTGCTGTCCGTGGAGAATATGATACATGTCTCCTCTACTCTGATCAATTGAAACAGAGATGTGTTGAACAGTTCAAAGATGGGTCCTTGGATATTGAACAGCTGGCCGCAGTGGATAGCATATGCGATTGCGTGTCGAAGGCTATCGGGGTAGCTGATCCTGTACGCACTTACCATGTGAATCTGTCAGTTTTCACCTCAATTCCTGATTTTTGGGGCTTCAGCCAATTGTTTCCTATTGTTCCAATTCACCGTCTGGATGAAAAGCCTACCATGAGAGGAATACTGTCTGACCTGACGTGTGACAGTGATGGAAAGGTTGATAAGTTCATTGGGGGCGAATCAAGCTTGCCGCTCCATGAAATTGGAAGTAATGCCGGTGGTGATGGTGGGCGGTATTATCTGGGGATGTTTTTGGGTGGGGCTTATGAGGAGGCGCTCGGAGGACTCCACAATCTATTTGGTGGACCAAGCGTTGTTCGCGTGTTGCAGAGCGATAGCCCTCACAGCTTTGCGGTGACTCGCTCTGTCCCTGGTCCGTCCTGTGCTGACGTGCTCCGGGCGATGCAGTTTGAGCCTGAACTCATGTTTGAGACTCTCAAGCACCGTGCAGAGGAATTCTTGGAACAAGGAGAAGGAGAAGATAAAGGTCTTGCCTTTGCATCTTTGACCAGCAGCTTAGCTCAGTCCTTCCACAACATGCCTTACCTTGTGTCGTCTTCGTCTTGTTGCTTCACTGCAGAAGCCACTGCCAGTGCCAGTGCCAATGCCAATAATGGTGGCTATTACTATTACAGTGAAGACAATGCTGCAGATTGTGCAACAGAGGAAGATGAGATTTGGTCCTACTGAACTGCTTGAAGTGTCTTGTTAGCATCTCCAGTTTGTTTTAGTTTGTCATCGAGGTCGTCTGTTTTTTTCAATAATCCCACCCCTTAGTTGGTGCATGTTACATTTCGTTTGTCTAGTTTTTGAAAAAGATGCAGTAGACTGTCATCTCTGTTGCAACTAAGCTTATGTTATTTCCGAATCAATTTCATGTATGGTTCGTCCTCTTTTCCGCCTTATATTAATGCATGCATTTTGTTTTAGTATATGATGATCTGCTATTTGTCCAAATTGAATTGAAAGATAAAACCTCCGCAGCTTATGGGTGGGTAGGTGGAGATTCTCATCATCGTGGCTTAGATTAGATTCGTTAATGATAATGTTGTTGCTACTTGCCTAAATGATTAAGGCTACTTTTATTTTGTACAAAGGGTAGGTGGAGCTGTATCATTTTTAACTTCTTGACACGTTTAGATTATTGATTAATGTTGGACTGGACAGATTTGTTCATCTTTGGCACGTTATTGAATTTTTGAGATGTTGGTGAAAGGTAGAGAGATTTGTTTATTGATGACATAGTCGCCCTTTGAAACAGAAAAAGAGTTGTGCTTTTGCAGGTCATGTGGTGTGTGTATAAAGTTTGTTAAAATTCAAAGTATTTTTTTAGTTGTAGAGAGTTGCTTTTGTTTTGTGCTGGTAAGATACGAATTGCCCCATATATCCATTACCATAGGAATGAAGATAACAGATTTCTAATGTTGCTTTTGTACAGTGAATGAGATTCCTTATCGGCAAAAACAGTTTTTAAGATTTTTTAGACTCCGATGCGGCACTTTGGATTGTAAGAACAAAGGAACCTCACCCCACCAATTAGTGAGAATATTATAAATGAGACTTTATGTTCTTTTTTCTGCATAATCACACATTACTTTTCAACATTTACCTTTAAACTCCACATTTTGAGGAATTACCTCTGTAATTTTCTATTTGCTTGTCAAAATGACTATGAGACTTACTGTTTGTTGATTTTGACATAAACCAAGTAGGCATTTGCAAATTTTGATGACACTAGTTTCTGGCTGACTACCTCTCTCCCCAATATTGATTATCTTGAGTCACAAAATATTTCATTTGACCACTAAGCCACATAGTTAGGTGTGTCAAATACTTCATACGCATAGATAGTGTAAGAATCTTTTACATTCCATATCAGCTTTTCGAAAAGTAATTGTAAATATAACAACAAGATACTCACTATAGTCTCACAAATGGGTCTGGAGAGGATAAGATGTTTACGGCGCTTAAAGACTATTTTTGATAAACTCTCGATTCTAAGACAATCATTTTTCAATTCAATCTGTGTTGTTAGTTGTCATTTTCCCTTTGACATGCTGGGAAGACTAATTGGGCCAACAAATAAAATTGGGAGCCCATAAAACTTTTTGCAAGCCCATTTATATAAGACAGTGAAACACCAGTCAATTGCAGGTTCACTAGTTTCAAGTAATCAAGAAAAACACACACACACAGAGCAGAAATGGCGATAACACTGAAGAGCGGCTACAAGATGCCGATTGTGGGATTGGGTGTTTGGCGAATGGAAGGAAAAGATATAAAAGATCTTCTCATCAACGCCATCAAGATTGGCTACCGTCACTTTGATTGTGCTGGTAACTACTTTTCTTTTTTTCTTGATTTTACTTTCTTGCTCTTTTCATTCTTGATTCTTCATTAGATAGATAGAAAAAGTTCCTCCGTTTGGATTGCTAGATTGAATGTGATTTCTTGATTTTCACTCATGGGTAATTCTGGATTGTACTTTTAGTCTTAATTACTTAACTATTAGTATTAATTACTTAACTATTAGTATAAGTTATAACTAGTTGTATGACCATTCTAGTCCTAAAGCTAGGTTTAAAACATGTTGAGTGTTTTGTCTCGCTTAATGTGGGCTTAAATGTATCATCCTCAAGTTAAAAGACACACTTTTCCTTTTTCCGAAGATACACTATACATATATATTTGTATTTTTTTTTCCTCTATAGTCCTAACATACCCAACTTTTTGTGCTTTTTTGCTTTTGATAACACTAGGTATGGACTATGGCCCCTCCCTTAAATCATTTTAAAATAGAATCTTGCTCCTTACTAGTTGGGGTTGTGGAGAATACCACCTTTAAGTAAAGTTTCAGCTGCATCAATTTTCTTCCACACGCGTTATGTATATTTAGTAAGTAGATGGTTAAGTCCCTGCAGAAACAAAAAACAATACTTAATAAAGTAACTAGATTTCTTCCACATCTGCTTAAGCCTTGGTGGGGATAGTTATCACTTACCCATGCATCTGCTAGTGGGAGGTAGCAGGTAACAATGTGGAACAAGTAAGCTGCTTGGACATACCCTTATATTTTAAAAAATGTTCAAAGATGTATATTTATGTTAAGGATGTGCGCGTTGTCACAAACAAGTAATAGGTGTAATGCTACTCGTCACTGATCCACTTAACTTTTGAATGTGTCTTTGCTACTATATATGTTCTTGGAATAGTGTCACCTGACATTTGGTAATGCTTGCAGCTGACTATCAAAATGAAGCTGAAGTTGGGGAAGCACTCGCAGAAGCATTTCAGACGGGGATCGTGAAGAGGGAGGATCTTTTCATTACAACAAAGGTTAGTGCAAAAATGTTAATTTCATCTGTCGACTCAGTTTTAGCATTTCACTGAGAATTACATATAGCTGGCAATGAGTATCGACTCTCTTTTTTGCAGCTTTGGAACTCAGACCATGGTCATGTTCTTGAGGCTTGTAAAGACAGTCTTAAGAAGTTACGCCTGGATTATCTGGATCTCTACCTTGTTCACTTTCCCGTAGCCACAAAACATACAGGTAAAGCTGCTGGTCTTATTACCTTTGACTTCTTCAAACTTTTGTGCATTTATCTCTTTTTTTCCATTTCCTTTTTTTGAGTTGTGAGGGGGGAAGACCATAACTTATGGCTGATACAGCATATTAGCTATTGCATTTTTATCATTCAGATCATGATTATTATGCTTATTGCACATCTCACACTGAAGGATGTTGTACATAATAACTGTATGGCAAAAACGAATAGCTGGTATTTCGACAAGTACTGCTTGGATCAAAGGCACATAGTGATTGTTAGCTGAATATTGATGCTTAAATTTCCTGATTTCCAATTATTTGGTGATTTGACTTTATATGACTTAAAACCCAAATGAACTATTCAGCAAAATCAATATTTGATTTCAATACATATAGTATAGATTTAAACATCTAGTAATCGATACTCTACTTTAATCTTGGCCTTGGCTTGAAATCAAAGAATTTTCTCTTTTTTAAATGGCTCCTTGTGTTTCTTCTAAATGCATTCAGGAGTTGGTACTACAGCTAGTGCATTGGGTGAGGATGGTGTTCTTGATATAGATACCACCATATCATTGGAGACTACTTGGCACGGAATGGAAAATCTAGTATCCTTGGGCTTGGTTCGCAGCATAGGAATCAGGTAGGCTTACGACTTAAAAACCTGTACTACCCTTTATTCAGCTGCTATGGCCAGCAGATTCATTCTTCTGCTTCATGATACTATCGTGCTGTGGATAATCTTATTGCTGAAGTCAGGCATTGTTGACAAAAACCAGATATAGTTTGGCCATTTAACTAGCGATTTCCTCCTTGAGTTTGTGTCGCTCCAATGCACTGACAATACGTAGTGTTTCAACGAACAAACAAATCTAAAAGAGGAAATTTAATTCTTTAATACATATATAGGCACTTTTTGAAAAATTGAAAATTGTGTATCACAAACTTAACTGCTCAGTATTGCTTGAAATGAATTCATCCTTCTTGAAGTCGTCTTGTCTTGTCTACAACCATTATAAAATTGTGAGAAGTTAACTCTATCACCTACAACTTTACATGTTTACTTTCAGTTATGGTGCATAACTATGTTAGTTTAGGCGCAAGCAGTATGTTATCATGCTATGCTATTTAACATTTGAATTATTTTTCAAACTAATGGTCTTGTATTCTTACTCTTGCAATGGGAATCGATGTGCAGCAACTACGACATCTTTCTCACCCGAGATTGCCTAGCATATTCCAAAGTGAAGCCTGCTGTGAATCAAATCGAGACTCATCCTTATTTCCAGCGTGAATCTCTTGTCAAATTTTGCCAAAAGCATGACATCTGTGTTACAGCACACACCCCACTTGGTGGTGCTGCTGCTAATACTGAATGGTTTGGTTCAGTGTCATGCCTGGAAGATCCAGCGCTAAAAGTAAATCCTTGTGCTCTTATATTTTCCATATTTCGTGAACTGTTCTTCTGGAAGTTTCACAAAAAAATTGTTTCATATTTGCTGGTTTGGTGTAATTGAGGTTGTTTTGTATTTTACTTATTGCATCAGGGTTTAGCTGAGAAATATAAAAAGACTGTGGCCCAGGTTATTCTGCGTTGGGGTATCCAAAGAAACACAGTTGTGATTCCAAAATCATCAAAACTGGAGAGACTGCAGGAGAATTTCAACGTTCTTGACTTCGAGCTCACTAAAGAGGACATGGACCTCGTCAAAAGTTTGGACCGCAACTATAGGACCAACCAACCTGCAAAGTTTTGGGGCATAGATCTGTATGCCTAAAAGCTTCCTGCTTCATGTCTCATTTTGACACCAAAGGCACCAGGATAGGGGACTAAGCTACTTAGACCAGCATCTCATTTGAATATGGAAAAGTGAGTTTATGTTTAGCATGAGAGAGACCATTCACTGCTCTACCTATGATGTAGTTATGTTTTTTCCATTTCAAACTTGTGTACCAAGGCTGATGGATGGTGGTTGGTTTAGTTTCTGGGAGAGTGTGCATGCTGGGGCAACACATCTCCCATCCAACGGCAAATAAAGCTATTGGCTACTAAAATGCTGCAAAATTCTGTCTTTGATTTACAAGAATAGCTATATAGATGAGTGGTTTTGAGCTGCCCTATGGCAAAACTTCAAGTTAACAACTTTTGACCTTGAAGATTTGCACATAGGGCAAGCGGGATCAAAATTTAAAGATCACTCATTTTTTCAAAATTTGCTTGGCTCAAAATGTGTTATTTGATCAAATAACGAGTAATAACCCACCCCGTACGACATGATTCGTCCTCCTATCTCTTTTACTTCATTTTTGAAAAAAAGTGCGGAAGTTAATATATTTTCTTAAATTATTTGCATATAATTTGATATTTTGTATGTTGGGTTTAAGTTGTTTTTCATCCTGCAGGTTTCACTTTTTTGACCTAGTAGTTTGACAGGTCATTTCGGGTTCAATTTAAGTACAGTCCAACCCATTTTTAACTTGAACAAGTTGGGCGGATTACTCAAAAAGAGGTTATTTTGACAACTGCAGAAATAGCATAAATGCTGTCTAATGGAACTGAAAAAGGTCCTTGAAACACAAGGCAAACAATAAGGAATTTCATTACTGCAACTTAGTGCGGCAACATCCACACAAATTTCATTCATTTATGTTACATGATAGATAAAGCAATTGGCCAAAAAAAAAAAAAGGATCAGAAGTGCTCACAAAAACTGCTGGGCATAATCAGATCCATAGAATTGTATCCGTGGCTAGAAAAAATTCACATCTAGCTAACAGAACCTATATATACATACACAGTTCCGCTCAAAGAAATAATATAGCAGAACTTGGTCATTAAGCATTAATAAACAAATGGGAAAATAGCAAAACGATTCCTAGGATAGTTGTCAAACTTGTGCAAATACCATCTATGTGTTTCTGCTGCTGCTAAGACAAGATTTACCACCTGAAATTGCAACATCATGCATCACGCTGCAGAATGAAAATGAACACAGGGTGGGGAAGTGAGGGTACTTCTCAAGATTTTGAATAGAGTTGTACCGTGAATCCCCAGAGTAGCCATATTGTGAGGTCCGAACATCCACTAGCAACCACAAAGCCAGCATATATAACCTTAAGTACAAGTGAACAGCAAAAAGGAACTTGTAATTAGAGCCTGGAAAGGTCAGCTTCTTGTGTGTACTGAGACATGAAATAAATACTCCTAGAACATTAGTAAGAGAAAGAGAAGTTACAATCTCAGCCAAATAGTGTGGAGATGAAACATATTGAAACCAATCACCATGAGGAACTACATATTCGTCATTGTCTTCTCTGTTCTCCCTCAATGAACCCTGATTGGCAATGTAAAGATGTTATTATCACAGTGATGATCTAAGGAATTCTAAGGCAACCATCACAAGCATACAACAACTACGGCTCAATAACCGACACAAACATAATAAAAGAATCAGCTGTCAAGTTCAAAGAGAAATTGCCTTTATGTTAACAGGGAAATTTAGTAAAGAAAATTTCAAGAACGACCAGAATAATTAAAAAACAACAGAATGAAGCAACAGACGTAGAAGGTAGTCAAACTTCTTAAAAGCTCCTGTACTTTTGTTGCAGTGTATTTTGCACCTCCATAATTATCATTAAGCTGAATTTCAACTTATTGCTTCAGCTTATAATGAATTTATCCAGCGTATAAGAATAAATAAAAGAAGTGGATAAGCTCAGTTATTCACCTTCACAGGCTATTGATTCAACTATTGTATCATCATATGCTATCACATCAACCTCACTATCTGTTCATCCTTGTACTTGCAATCTCTCAATGAGAATCAACCATAAAGTAAAACACATCCAGTAATAATATCTAGAGCAGCTACAGTTATCAGAGCTCACAACCTCTTAACCACCAATGTGCCTTATGAAAAAAGAACTAACTCTAACATCAGTCTTAATGACAGTGAGATCCATCGCCTATGCACACATATCCACATATAGTACCTTCGAAATTCTCAAAGTCAAGAATCCATATTCTTACCTTGATCCAACCTTGACCAGAGTGCCACAATTAATATACTTAGCTTTAGTCCATTTCGGTGAATAGATTGAGATTTTCTTTTTATAGGTGAAGGGGGTAAATCCGAAGTCGGTTCTCAAGGCCCGGAAGCTCGGGGATTGAATACCCCTATGTTCCAAGTGACTAGCTTGGCTGGTGATGCGTTCACCCACTTGCACGCTTCCTTGCAAGCACGAAATCCTTAGTTCGCCCGCTACCACACGGGCCGGTGTACTCTTATCGCTAACCCCGAGAGAGGCTATACTGCCTTGGAGCAACGGTTCAGTTGTCTCCGTGGACCTATAGGTCACGGGTTCAAGCCATGGAAGCAGTCACTAATGTTTGCATTAGGCTAGGTGGTCTACATCACACCCTTTGGGTGCGACCCTTCCGCAGATTCTGCATGAAAGTGGGATGCTTTGTGCACCGGGATGCCCTTTTTTTATAGGTAAATAATAGCAAAGTCAGTATAATCACATGGAAGCAAATAAAAATTAGTTGACTCTAACTTGAAAATCAGAAGTGCTTTTACTTCATCTATTTAAATATGAGCTTATCTCAGTCAGGAGATAACTACTCCCATTATGCCACATTTATTTCATGTTTTTTAAGTTCAATTCTTCTAATGTGGTGATTGTGCTCTGTTTGATGAAGGTGGGTGGGCTCAAGTGAATGAGTAAGGCTTAAGAGACCGAAACCATTAGGCGAAAGGAAATGATAAACACTCTACACAGTTTTCAGACTACAGTTAAAACCTCTTTTAGGTTTTTATTGAAAACACCAGTAGCCTTTTTTCTTCCACAAGATAAATTATAATAACTAATAAATCCTCATATAGAAGAGGTAGGCACCAAGGACAAGCACGTAATATATTAACCAAGTAACCAAAAGACACTCCTAACTCAAAGACAAATCCAAATCTATATTCAATAGCACCTGCCACTTACCAAAATTGCATGACAATGGTGTTGATGAATCCAGCCCCAAAAAAATATAGCTGCACCAATCCATGAGTACCATCGTAGTTGAATGAGAGGGTTCAAAAATCTCCACCAATCAACCTCAGTTGCTAGCATCCTATCTTTTCCTTTGACAATAAACTCTTGAATCAAACTCAACCCGAACTTGTATACCTCTGTAGCATGATTGCAGCAAAGAGAGATGGGAACTGCTGTATAGAAGCTTGAATCAAGAAAAAGAACAAAATTCAGCAAGTCTTTTGTCCATCTGACAACTTGGAGTTGATGTATTGTGGAAACTATAAGAAGTTAGGCACTAAAAGAGAATATACTAGTGTTGTCCAAACAGGAAACATTGACTACGACTTCTATAAAGTGTGAATTATTTCAAATAATTTTCTATACAATTACAATACAGTTTATCAAAACTAAAGTCTAGTTGGAAATTCTGCATATAGATGAAGAATATATGCTCTATAAAAAGATATACACCTAATGGTCAAATATTAGACCCTTTTACTAGGCCATGGAAATTTTGATCAAAGTAAATAATGATGGCAAAAATTGAAGTTCCAATTAAAGAAAAGAAAAGAACACACACAAAAAAGGAACAGACACACAGAACACACCAGGAGTCAGCTGATAAAACGCAACAAGAAATATGGAAATATTTACGAAAAAAAGAGACAAAGTGAGATACCAACTTACAATAAACCGGTGAGGTAGCCTAAAATGTGCATCCTGGCTGAAGGACTATATTTAAATATGTATATTGACTCAAACAGACGTCGCAGTACTTGAGCTTCCATTAATAAAAGCAGAAAGATTGATACAGCAATCCTGCTTCTATGTTCCTTTGATGTATGAGAACTGTGGAAAGAGAAGATACCTGATCCTCCCGTCAAGTGGCTAGCAATACTAGAAAAAAGATACGGTTCTGAGATCTTTGGCACTGTACTATAAGCATAAAGCCAGGTTGCACCTAACAGAAGTGTTGTCCAAACAGAAGCTAGAATATAGAAGTGAATGAAGAGTTTCTGTGGAACAGTGAATTTCTGCAATTGAACAAACCAAAAAGAGTGTCAGGTCAATTAAGTTGTTGCAGAAACTTTTTAATCTTTTAAAAGTTGCAGAAATTTTCATTTTCACAGAAAATAGCTATTGCCAGAGAAGAAACAAATTGATATATTTTAAAAAATACTACTCATCATCCATATAACACAGTTTAACTGGAAAGCCCAATACATCTCATTAGGAGGGAGAGTTACTTTGATAAACTCTGTTTTGGACTCACTGCCTACTTATGTAATGTCACTGTTCCCCATCCCTGCTAAGGTGGAGGAAAGGCTTGACAAGCTAAGAAGAGATTTTTTGTGGCTGGGAAACAAAGAAGGAAAGGGCCGACATTTATTTAAATGGCAGGTTGTACAACTTCACAAGCAGTCAGGTGGAGGTGGACTTGGAATCAGAAATCTGAGAATTCAAAATACATGTCTTCTCTCAAAGTGGCTATGGAGGTTTACCAGGGAAACACATGCTTTGTGGAGAGAGGAGATAGTAAACAAATACGGTAGTGCTTGCAACTACAAACTTACTTTATTTATACATAATAACAAGTACTTTGAGGATTCATTCTACCTTATACAAGGGTTCAAATACCACATACTTAAGCTTGTAACATGAGACAAGTGACCGTGTACTTGAAATAGAACTTTGTAACACGACACAAGTCACCAAATAATTGAAACTGAACATTATTGCAAACAACAGAATTTTTTTTACTAAAGTTGAATGGATAAGTGCAAGGCGAACATGGCATGATAGAAGACACGCTAGGATCAAGAAAGATATATTAGCGCTGCGCTTCAGAAGATGGAAACCTGCCAATAGACAGTAATATCACAAATTTCTGAAAGGTACATTTTCAGTATTCATCAATGTATCGGTCAGACAACTACCAAAAGTTGATCAGTACAACACTCTGCTAGTAACATTGAATCAGTTCAATTTGATAGGGATTCTATCCCTGAATTTTCACAAGCCATATTCAAATTAAATCAGTTTGAACGGAGATTATCTATCTGGTTCAATGAAGATGATTAGAGATCCTGCAGCAGTGGATACAATCAACGCTCAATTCACCCTAAAATCATGTGTTAACATTTGTATCCTGCTCAGATCCCCTTCTAATTTGCTTAGCTCCAGTACCAGCCTTCGGGGGATCAGACTGTATTAATGTAGATTTTGCAATGCAGCAGTGAGATACCGCATTTGCTGAGTGAGATGCTGCTGTAAAATAAAGGGACAATGCAATTGCTGCCCTCCACTTTCTCGAAATGGCGCGCCTCTGACAGAGCACCTAATGAAATATCTACACTCTTAATCTCATCCAACATTGCCTCCCTAAGTTTACACACCCTAACTAACAATTTCTAATCAAAGCTTCAACTTAAGAACAAATATCCAGATTCACACAGTTCTAAGCTTAGCAAGAGGACACCAGTCATCTTCGTTGTTCGATTTATGCCACCATGTCGACCCTTCCTTCAAGAACAACAACCTCAAAGCCTAGAAATATCAATTACCTAGCAGCAATTAAACCCTTAGCCTTGTGCCAATGACCACTACATTCCTGTTCTAAACATCTTCAGATGGCTTAAATCTCACTTCTTTAGTCATGAAACTAAACCAATATTGAGATATTATGATGTAGGAGAAATTTAAGCAGAACTAACAAACTTTGTATTCAGCTCGTATGGATTACAAAGCATGGTCTTCAATAGTTAACATGCCAGAATACATTGCAAGGTTCTGGAAGTCGTGAGGTTGAGACTCTGAAACTACAGCTTGGATGCAGTTTGCGGAGGGGGGAAATTGTTATAGTCATGTAGTTATTGTATAGTCAGAGAATTATTCAGGCGGATGCCCGTTTCAATTGTGAATACGGAAAGTTGAGCTAGTCTTGGGTACACTATTTCTTTCGGGAACCAAAACTACACGCCAACGACCAAATAATATACATTGATTAATCTTAGAAGAAAAACTTAAATCAATTGAACTATACAATGCTTGAATGTTTAGTGCTATCTAAAGAGATTGTAAGAACACAAACACGCAAGCAACAAGATTTCAATTTTTGAATGAATACTTACATTTGATGAAGACTGCATAATCTTGCCACGCTTAGCAAACCCTAACACGAATTGTTGAAAAAAATTAATCTTGGATGAAGGAATCAAAGCGATAACAACGGGCAATATCGCAGCAACCCATGCAGCTCTCAACAGGGTGACCAGCCCTAACTCCATTTCTACAAAATCCCACAACAACAAAAAAAAAAAACTTTAGTTCAATTTCACAAATGGGGTTTCCAAATTCCTACTGATTATCAACAATATAGAGTTACCAGAACTGAATGAATATAAAAAGATACAAACTTCAATGAGTCCACGGGAAAATGAAGGGAAAACGAAGGATACCATATAAATTGTGGGTCCTTAATGCAGTGCCGTGAAGGATTGAATATGCTATGGCATTTGCTTCCTACGATATGAAATTCAATGCTACTCTGGAAGGTGTGAAGTGTATTGAGTGTTTTTGGAAGATAAAAAATGACTTTAGTTTCGAAAAGTCAATTTAACTTAGGTTTGGAAGAAATATTATTTTCAAAGAAAGAGGTCACTTAATTTTTTTTTTGAAAGAAATTAAGAAAACTTATTAAATTTTTAAAAGATTTTCAAATAGAGAAAAAATTATTTAAAATTCAAAGAGGGTTCGGGGTTCAATTTACATTCAAAAAGGTGTTAGGCCCTCGAAATATTCACTACTAACATGCGATTGACCAACGACTTGACAAATATTTAACTTTTTTTAAAAAAAAATATCACTAAGTAATAAAATCCATTTTTTATTTTTGAGGGGAAATAAACTAAGGGGTCTTTTAGGAAAAATAATTCATATTAACAAGATAACTAATAAAATAATTCATAAAGACAATAAGTAATAAATAAAATATAAATATTTTAACTTGAGCATAAAAGTAGAAATGACTTTCTTTTGAAAATTAAATTAAGTAAAAACCAATTCAAATAAAAGGTTAGTTATTAATATAATAAATAAAGAAAAGAGAGAAATTTGAACTTGGGCTCCTTGCCCAAATTCAGCAAAAATTGGGCCTTCAGGCCCACCGCCCTAATTCTTGAGTAAACTATCATAAATCCCACTAGTTTAGTACCTAATTACTATGATTCAAGATAGTTTCAATAATTACATCCTATACCATATTTTGTCCGTCGGATACATGTATCATTACTTATCAGATACATGTATCTGACGGTTTGAATTAAAGAGATACATATTTTAATATTTTGAATTAAATGTGTGTAACTGATTTCCTTAAATAAAGGAGTAATTTAGGCTTAATTAACAACTCTAATTGAAAATACAGATTCATTAACATATCAACTCTAACAAATCTTCCTAAAATAACGAAATCCTAAAACCATAATAATTCTCTAATTCAAAACTTCTTCTTCTTGGCAACAATTCTTTTTTTGTTTCTTGCGTTTGATTTTTTTTCCTTTTCATAATGGTCAATATCACCGTAAAAATCAATGGAATACTTCTCAAGGATAATGCTACTTTCCATGATATCATTGAAGGTATTTTCAAGCAACTACAAATCGATTGTAGTCGCAATGTTTGAGACTAAATTTTGGAAAATCTACTTCAGTTTTTGACCTATTCCAATTATCCGACCTTCCCTGCAAATCATGTTTCTATGGGAGGAGAATGAACCTCTAGACAAGATATGGTTCTTATACAGAGGATTGTTAGTTTCACCTCTTATAATTATGTATTGATGTATTTCTGACAAGATATAGTGTGTGATATGAAATTAGTCGCAATGTTCTAGAGATCAGATACAATGTTGAAGACAATTCGACTTCAATTAAGATGAGAATGAAGTTTATGAAATTAAAATGATGTAAATATGATTTTGGATTTTTTCCATTATGCATAACGATTACAAAGAAAATATTGGATGTAGCCATAATGGTGAAATGACTTTTGAGTTGGATACATCAATTAATGCTAATTTATGTATGAAACATTGTTTTGTATATCTTTTTTTCTTCAAATACATGATGTAAGCTATTTACGTTGCTTTGGTTATCTTTTTTTCTTCAGATACATGATCTAAACTATTTTTGAATATAATGAATAAACACTATGTTAAGCATTCATATAAGTGCTCTGAATTGATTGATCGGAGGTCTTGTTCAAATACATTATAACTTAATGAATGCTTCTTGTGATATGTTTTGTTTAAGTACATCAGATAGACACACAATTCCAATAGATACATGATAATAAATAATTATTTAATATTTCAGATACACTATCTACCTTGTTAGATATGTTGTTGATTATTGTTTCTAAATTTTGTTTATAATAAGATACATTTTTTTTTACGTCAGATACACATCTATTTTTGTTGTTCATATACATGAGAAGGGTAGTAGCTCATATAATTGATGTGGTCTATTAGATACACTGTTAATTCTCTAAACTAGTTAATATGAATTTTAAGTTAGATACATTGTAATTTGTTATTTTTTTGCTTAGAAAAAATAATTTTTGATAGTTTCAGATATACTATTTATCATATTAGATACATGTATATTAAACATTTATAGAATACATATAACATCATGCTTAGATACACGAAATAATCATATCAGATACGCATCACTGTCATGTATATGTATAGATACATTGAATGAAACATTAAATATATGAAATAAAAACTAAGATACATAAGATGATTTGTATGACCATATACATGACATATATATTGCCACTAAAATAATATATTGGTGGGGGAGAGGGGTGGGGATAGACAATTTACGGAGGAGGGTGGGGAGGGGGGGTTGATGAGAGAGAAAGATATTTGGACCATTAATTTTAATTTTTAAAATGTAAAGATAATTAAGTAATCCTAGTTTTAAGGGATTTGTGTATCTAATTATATTTTTTAAAATATATGGTATAAAATATTAAAAGTGATAATATATGTAATTGTTTAAAAGTAGAGATAATATTAGTATATATAGTAGGGATGTATGTCTAGTTAGGTAGTTTTTTCCCTAATTCTATGCTTCAATCTTTAAGATTGATATTGCTTGCACTTTGGGCCTGTCTATCTGCAACATAACTGAAATTCATGGGTTTAGGCCCAAATTGTCAAAATCTACTGCTACTCATTTCATTAGGCCTCTGGGCCCAATTTTCGCCTGGACCTGCTGCTGAAATTTCCTAGACTTTTGGTTCACTTCCCTGTATATTCTGCGTATATTGGGTGTATACTATTGTATACGACCTGTATCTAACCCATTTTGGGCTTTCCGAAACCTGTATTTCGACTTAAACCTTGTATTTCTGCATTTCTCAACCTGTATTTCAATATTTTCGGCTGTATACCAGCGTATACAACTCATTTTCTGGATTTTGGAGACTTAATAAGTTAATTTCCAGCTTTGTATTGGACCTTCGGAACCTGTATCAGCTTCCAAAGACCTGTTCACAGACTTCACAATTTTCCATGGGGCTGACTCAAGAAATATGAATATTGCCCATTGGGAGATGCAAGATATCGAGACAGAATTCACTTGGACTCAAAAGGGATTTGGTAGAAAACAAAACAAAAACAGATGAGAATTAGTACCAAATTCCGATAGAAACGAGCAACAATGAAGCAACATGGAACACTGATAAGAAAATCATGGGAATAAATGATATGAGAAGACAAGGCACAGATATAGGGAAGGGACAAGAATTTAGTGACACTTCACGATCCACTTCAGATATGTATACATCAGCAAACTAAATTCTAATATTTCTCGGAACAAAGCTACGAACTCATCGACTTTAATGCGAAATAAAAGTAAAAATCGATGCATTAAGAAATAGACCGAGAGAACAGACATTCGAGCATAATGAATTAATCTATTCAAAACTCTTATGACTCAATCAAACACGAAACAACAATGAGGGAAATTGGAGGTTAAGCTCAGTCTAAAACAGATTTGGCAAGCTCTTCCCTTAAACAGTGGAAAACAACAAAGCAAGTTCATCCAAGTTTAAGACGCGCAAGAGTAGTACAGCTATATTGATTGTAGAAGTTGAAAACAACCAAATTCATATGCTAAACGAACTACAGCTTAACTGATAACCACTCTTATCACAAGAGCTACTGCCCCAACAAACCCGAATTTCAACTACCATGTATTTAACCAAATCCAGATTGATTTAAAGACTTATGCAGGCTGATGCAACTTATAAGAAAAACTCGGATCAATATGAGGAACTTAAAGAGGACAAACAGAAAAGAGAAAATAGGTGGTGATCTGAAGAGAAAAACAAGAGCTTGTAGTAAGCTTAACATCTAAAAAAAAAAAAAAAGCCTCAAATTTTAAAAGCTCAATTGCAAATAGCAAACACTTGTTCGACTAAAAGAAAATGGAGACATGAAAGAAGGCTCAAATAATTCGCTATAAGCGATAATACAACAGAGAGATACAAGAAAACAGTGACAAACAAAGCTAATGGAACAAAATGCAATCATACCACATGATGGCTTTATCAATTAATCTCAAAAACTCAGACTTAACGTTAACGGTAACAAACCAGATAAAGAAACATTGATGCTTGAAGACGTCTAAATGAAAAAAGCTCAGATCTGGCGACATTCGAATAGCTAGAACAATGAAACACAGAATCAACCATACTAAAGCTAAAATGGCAAAATGATATTAAGCCTAAGCCAAATGGATCACTTAAACATACATGTACAAGCCATCATCACTAAAAATCCATTATTCATAACAACGAAATAGTGACTTCACTATATCGAAACGTCATACCGAAATAGAAAAAGACGAAGAGAGCATTACCTTTTTCCAGGCAGCAAAACCGAGGTTGGAACGACCTCACCACCAACTTCAAACTTCAGGAGCTCCTAGCAACCCACGAACAAGGAAAGAAAATATATATTTCTTATATGACTGTCGCAGCTTAGTGATTCTTTTTCTCCGAAAGTTGTTGCTAATGGAGAAGAAAAGAGTGATTTTGGGCTGGGGAAATCGGGTGAAGAAAGGAGTGAGCAGGGCTGCTAGTACGCGATTTTCGCTGGGTACGCGTGAAGAAGCAGACCCTATACCGGGTCGTTCTGGGTATGTATTGTAGCTGTTGGGTTATTGTATGAGAATTAGAGAGTTGGGCCGGCCGGGTATTGGATCATGTTGGGTCTTTTTGGTGGGCTACTGTATCTGTAGGAAATAGGATTTGAAGGTAGCAATTTGAACCAATTTTCGGGTCTTCAAAATGAAGCTAAACTTGAATTAAGAAAATAACCACATGGATTGCAATTGACCCGAAATAAAAATAAGATGAATTGTTTTCAATTAATTAAACAAGCTTCTTAATCTTAACAAAATAAAATAATTAAACTAATTAATTCAAAAT